ACGCCTCTCAGCCACACCATTCAACTGCGGTGTCCTGGGAGGTGTCAATTGTGAGACAATCCCACATTCCCTTAGATAGTCGAGGAACTCTGAACTAAGATACTCACCACCCCGATCGGATCGAAGCATCTTAATGTTCCTGCCCAATTGATTCTCGACTTCCTGTTTAAATTCCTTAAACTTCTCGAAAGTCTCTGACTTATGCTTGATTAAGTAGACATATCCATATCTACTGTAATCATCAGTAAAAGTCAAATAATAACGATTAGCATCCCTTGTGGCATGTTTGAATGGTCCACACACATCCGTGTGTATAAGGTCCAACAAACCTTCACCCCTTTCACACGAGCCTGTGAAGGGTGACTTTGTCATTTTTCCAAGTAAGCATGATTCGCAACTATCATTTGACTTTAGGTCAAACGACTCCAAGACTCCATCCTTTTGGAGTTGGCCTATGCGTTTCTTGCTTATATGTCCAAGACGACAATGCCATAATGATGCTTTATCCAAGTTATTATTATTAGTAGAATCAATACATAAAACATTATTTCCTAAGTTATCTACAACAGACACAGCTTCATACACACCATCACAAGGTAATGCTTTTAAATAAAGAACATTATTAAAGAAAGCATCAATAGAACCAACTTCAAATCTAAACTAAACCCACTACTTAGCGATTAAGTATAAACTCCAATCTTGGTGACAGGTGAAGCTTTCCTGTTCCCCATGATCAAGTTTATTCTTCCTTGCTCCACATCCTCACTTCTTCTTAGTCCCTGCAAGTCACAACAAATATGAATACCACAACCGGTATCAAGGACCCAAGAATTAGAATGGGGTGAGTTATTAGAAATGATAGTGTAAATACCTGCATGGTTGGGTTTGACTTTCCCATCCTTCACATCCTGCTGGTACTTTGGGCAGTTCCGCTTCCAATGAGCTTTTTCATGGCAATAGAAGCATTCAGCCTCTTTTGGGTCAGAAGAAGGAGTAATGAAACCTTTCTTGGTTCCACTTGAAGAAGAGCCATCAAGGGTCCGAGCCTTGGTACCCTTCGAAGATCTCTTTCTCTTCCTCCCTCGACTTTTCCCGATTGCCAAAACCGGAGTTGAGTTTGGAGTAGGAGTGATAGCAACCGACTTCCCCTTAAGACCTGTTTCTGCAGTCTTGAGAAGTCCCTGAAGTTTGCTGAGAGTGACCTCTTCCTTATTCATGTGATATGTCATGCGGAATTGATCATAGCACGATGGTAAGGAGCGCAAAATTATATCTATTGCAAGCTCCTCAGGGAGGTTCACATTAAGCTTCAGCAATCGATCCACATACCTTTGCATTTTCTGCATGTGGCTCGTGACGGAATCCCCGTCCTTCATCATGGTTGTTATCATGGAGCAGATGATTTCGTACCTCTCTTGTCGTGCACTTTGATGGTATCTTTCCATCAAATCTTGGTGCATTTCATAAGGGTAGAAATCCTCATAGGACTTTTGGAGTTCTGCTGTCATTGTGGCCATCATGATGCATGCTACTTTCGTAGCATCCCTTTCATGTGCCTGAAAGTCAGCGATCTCCTGAGGAGTTGCAGTGGTCTCATCAATCTCCTTAAGCTCCTTGTCAAGGACATATTCTTTGTCCTCGTAGCGGGTAATCATCCTGATGTTTCTGATCCATTCATTGAAGTTGGATCCATCAAAGGTGACTTTCCCACACAAACTCATAAGAGTAAAGGAGCCATTAGGATTCGAGCCAGAAGCATTATTTGAAGACATCTGAAAGAGAGAACAAGTTTAGTATAGATTTAAGAGAGTCCTTAATAAAACACCCAAATGTAATATTAAGGCTAGGATCCAATCACAATATAATATAACTTAGAAGAGGTATGCCGTAATCTAAGCTATACCATATTTGAAAGGTAGGTGAATGACGATTCACCAATTTCCACCACGAAAACCGAAATATTAGATATTAGGTTTTTATTGGTTTTAGAAATTCCTAGATTCTTTGAGATTCAATGAACTTTTCAAAGGCATGTTTCAATCTCGAGAGTGCCCTCCAAGTTTTGTGACTGGGATACCGAGGATCACAAAACGAGGTGTGAAGTAACCATGCAAATCACTTGGTACCCTTAAAGTTTATCACTCAATCGATGTGCCGGTAAACCACACACGCTCCACCGATACTATAATAAACCTTAAGTCACCCTTTACCTACCTTGTTAAGTCCAAGTTAGTGTGCCGGTTAACCACACACGCTCCACCAACGACTTAGACAAAGTGTAAAGTGTAATTTCATGGATTAGCACCTTATTCACATTTTCCTAAAGTAACTAAGATTGGGAATTTAATAAAACATTTAGTTACTTTATAATATTCATCATACTTTGAATGAAGTTTATAAGTCCTTGTCTTACCCGTTCGGCTAACGACCCTCCACCAGTCAAGCAAGCGGTGGGTGAGAGTAGACACCCATTAAGTCACCATTTTATAGGCAACAACCTTATACCCACCTTATAGACCGGCTTCGTGAATGAGGCGTACTAGCGGTAAGACGACTTTATTCTTATACATACATATATATATATATATATATATATATATATATATATATATATATATATATATTATTAAATCATCATAATATAAGTATAAGGGTTGAATTTTAACTTTTAAAATTCTAGGGGTTGGAACTTAAAGTTTTAACTTAACTTTACTTGTTCCAAAACTTGAGGGCAAGTTTTGTAACTTTCAAAACTTTTCATTTCTTGTAACTTATGAGTTTAATAGAGTAATAAAATGAAGACTCTTCATTTTTCTAACTCTTGTGTTTGTTTTAATGGTTTTAATTCAAGTGTGACTCTTGGTTTTCCATAACTTGAGGACAAGTTATGGACTCCATTAAAACACATTATGATCAAGAATTAAACTACCACATAGGTTACAAATAATTCCTATGATCATCTAAAACATCATAAGAACAAGAACATGAATATGAACTTATTCATAAATCAAAAATTACACTTAAAACTTTGTAATTTTTTTGATAACTAGTTGTTGTAAATGAATTATCAAAGACATTACACCATCTAAAACAAGTTTTTCAAGTACCAAAAAGTTTAGGGTAATGTTTCTAATTCATTTCCAGCAACTAAATCGAAATTCTACAATCAGTCGACCCTACTCGCCGAGTGCATGAACTTTACTCGCCGAGTTGGTTGAAGATACACATGAACTCGACAAGTCCCCCCTATAGACTCGACGAGTCCATTCGCAGACAGCAAGATTTTCGATGCAACCCTAATAACCTTGGATCTATGTTTGTCTAATTATCATGCAAAGTTGAATTCCAAGGTTATATTCCTATCTAGCATACATGGGGAACAATTTTAACTTAAAGTATAGATAGAATAACTTACCTTGTTGTTGTTTGTGTTCCTTGAAACCTTGTGAGCCTAGCACCCCAAGTGTGATGCCTCAAATGCTTCACACAACACCAAATGCTCTTGGAAGAACTTATGAGAGAACACACACTTCTCAAAAATCGGCCAAGCCCTCTTGTTTCTTAGTGTAGCCGATTTTAGGTGGAGAACATGTTTCTTATATAGTGTTGACACATCTAGGGTTAAACCCTAATGTGTCATGACTCTTCATTTCCATGACCCATGGGTTTGTAACTCCCATGGAGCATCCATGGAGCATCCTATGGGTGGAACCCAACTTAATAATCCATGGAGCCTCTTAGCCCACTATACAAGATATGGATGATTTACATAATCAACCCATATATTTAATTAGTTATCTTTTTGATCACATAATTAATTCTAAATTAATTCTTGATCAAACTAATCAAATAATATTATTAATATATTAGAACTTATAATATATTAATAATCTCCAAGTGTTATTTCTCTCATTTAGTCTATCCAATTGCATGGTGCCATGCAACCCAAATGGACCATGTCGGGTCGGGTCAAGTACATACCAGAAATAGTTATGGACTTAGACACCTTATCCAACAGAAGGTTTAAAGCATAATTTGATAAGTGTCAACTTGTTGTAGGTAATAGAAATCAACCCAATTTTTTTAGATATATCAAATCTTTTGTGGTGTTCTACTCTCAAGAAATTGCTTTTTTTAGATTATAAACTTGTCGAAAGACTTAACAAGGTTGTTGGGGATCCATACATGAGATTGAATGAGATTTCTAAAATGAAAGATACTGATGAACTCTTGTGTGAGTTGTTTACTCAATTAAAAAGACAAAGGAGGATATGCTAAGTTGTTTTCACAATTTATGAAAAAGAAAGCTTTGCATTTTCCATATTTCAGAATATGTTGGTAATGATAATTGCGTGATGACAACCAGAAGACATAGAAAAGAAATGATGGATCTTCTTGTCTGGTGGATGACAGTTTGGAAAGCCTTATTCCATATTGCAACTATACTTTTTTAATAGAAGACTTCGAATTTTGTGACTCGTTATAAAATGGGGGAATGTTGAGTATTATGTTGTGATAGTAATTGAAGACCATTTCAGTGGAGATGTTTTTGTGATTCCAAAAAGTTAGTAGATCATATCATATCATGCTCCTTTTAATGAGTTATGGTGTAAGCTAGCTAAGATGCTCTTAACCGCATGTGTATGTTAGTGAGTAGGGTGTTATCTTTTTAATGTTTCCTAACTTACATGTCTATGTATGATTGGTTGTGTAGTCATCTTTCTTTGTATCTATATATAAGTGTATGTCATAGAGAATGAGTAAGTTTTCTATAATGTTTGTATACTTTTAAATACTTGACCCTTGTTTCGTATTCACTCTCATCCATCAATCAAAGTTAATCAAAAAGATGAATTGTTATTTAGTTTAAATGTTCTTAGTTTTATTCCATAATTTCATTTGTTATTGTGTTCTTGTCCTATCAATAAGTATATATTCAACCATTATTGGTCATTTTGTATCTATAAGCAAAGATTATCAAACACTAAAAAACAATTTATCAGCTTATTACATATTGATATCAAAAACATATTCAAAACATTTTTGTATTAAAACTCTTTTTTAACACTGGAAAAAACTAATAAGCACTTTTGCACATATGCATAAGTTATTTTACATGAGAAATTCCAAACGCGAACATCTTTTGATCAAAACACCAACATGATACACATAGAATGTCGTTTTTGAGCTTGAATATCCATAAAGTCTGACATTTTATTCGCAGAATATCAAACAACGTGGGCCTATGTTTCCTTTTTATGCCTTTATCATCTATGAAACCATTTTCGACTTCCAACTTCTTACCTTCCCTTTACCCTATTTTATAAGACTAGATATTGTTATTGTAAAAATCAATTCATTCATAAATTCATATGTTGAACAACCTAGCAGTAATTAATCTATAGTTTCCAACCTACATATGACTACCATAACATTCTTTTTTAAGGAATGTAATATACTAAACTTTTTATTTTATATACATTTACATTGCCAAACCTTAGCATTTTTATAAGGTTTTCATTTGCATACCATGTCTATATGGTAGATTTTATTTTTTTGGAACAAAGTTTATATAGATATACTTGAAATTATTAAGGTTTAAAAATACATTAGCATTTATTTCAAAATTTATTGTTTGTTGTGTTTCATTTAAATTATTGTACATTTGAAATCGATAAGGATCAAACATAAAGTTACTTGTAACATCATCGATAATAAACACCACCCCCACATATTACATCTGTCTCCACATGCAACGATCCAGTTGGATAAATATGCAAACTGATGTAATTCATTTTTATAAACAAATAAAAGTTCCATTCAGATAATTAATCTTACTGATGAACATGCCGCAGCATCCATGGCGGCAGCGATGTGGCAGAGATACGGTGATCTCCGGCGTATCCCTCCTCCCTTACATCAGTTTCCAGAAATGGATCCCTACAACGTTTGTAATCAACTAACCATTTTCATCAATTCGTTTATCATCAGTGAGTGTGTGTGTGTGTGTGAGAGAGAGAGAGAGAGAAAGAGAGAGTACCCGCCGACTGCAAGAGAATGAACGGGATCTCGATCCTCCATGCGAGGCGGTTGTGGATCGGTGTTCACCTCTTTCCCATTCAACTGTTTACACGTTTAGATACGAAAGATTTTGTAAAAGAAAAAAAAATACAAAATATTTATTTTAACCATGATTCAAAAATCAAATGTTATATTTATTTTGCTCATATAAATTTAAGATACCTTCTTGTAGAGTGTATTCCTTTGGTCTTGTAGTGCCTTCTCCTGCATATATGCCACAACAGCTAATTTTTTTTTTTTTTGAAAAAAAAAAAACAAAAAGAATTTACCTTTTTGGGCTAATTAACTCACACAAACTTATTATTGTTTATGATCAGCTAACATGTGGTATTAATTAATTAATTATCATGGATTATGAATTACCTTTTTGTGAAGTTGGGAGATGGACTCGTGCATGAGTTGGTTCTGCATAAAATATTTTAAACAAATTTATTGTGTTATGTTTGTAAAAATAAAAAATAATAATAATAATAAACGAAATGGAACTAGGATTAGAATTATGAAATTGTTTTACCTTCTTGGTTCGAATTCGTTTGAGAGCAGTATCAATCTGTTGTTCTACACTGTGAAGCTCTTTAAGGTTTAAGGACTCTAGTCCTTCCCCAACATAGTGCCTATTATTAATTAATTAAACATGTTTGAATTAGACTTTCCCAACTAGCTTATTTTTCGAACTATTTTATGTTGTTGTGTTTAGTAAATCAAAAAGTAGCTGATAAGCTAGCTTATAAGCTAAGTTTTTGAAAAACTACTTAGATTAGTTTTTTAGAAGGTTTTTTTTTTTTAAATTTCCAAATACACTCCTTAATTAATTATAGAAACACATAATGTTACATGTCATTTTATATAATTTTATATATTTTTGCTAGTTTACCAAACATTATTTTTTATCAGCTAGCTTTTTATTTAACAGCTAACTTTTCAGGTATCAGCTAGTTTTTCAGCTAGTACACCAAATATAACCTAAGTTGCTAAAATATATCAGCTAGGTGCAGGATTACAATTATCTGAATTGTTTTATTCAAAAATATTATATACTTATTAACTTTAATAATAATTTTTATAATTATATTTAATGTATCAATTGTTTATAGTATTAAAAAAAGTATTGTCAATCATATATATATATATATATATATATATATATATATATATATATATATATATATATATATATATATATATTTGAATAATATGATTACGTACCTCATATTTTTTTCTAGGACTTCTATTTTTGCCATAAGCTTTGAGGATTCAAGAGTCCAGCTTCCCTGTATATAAAATTTGAAGGATAACAACACTACCACTTTAAATCTTGTTGTTAACAACAGAAGTCCACAAAGTAAAAACAAAAAATATAAGAATGAAATATAAAACGAAGAATTAAATGGGGGAAATGTTGTCTTTTGATTAGTTGTGACGCTTACTATTGTTTCGTTTCCAGGCTCTGTGAGAATCTTCTCTGCATATGAGCATCTTTCGTATCGCTCAAGAATTGCTTCCATGCTATTTCAATCAAACAATATTCGGAATTTAAAAACTGATGATATATATTGTCTTAATTAATTAAACATGATTTCTATTTTCTACATGAGCAAGTAAATTATCAAACAAAGTAATTAATGTCATTATATAGTCTTTAAAAAATTAGATACCATTAACTGTTTGCACAATATTTATCAACAAAAGAAAGTGAATTTTACATGATCCACTTAAGATATCAAGAATATGATTATCAACCGATAGATCTATTTCCATTTGATGTAATGCGTTATGATGTTTGGACATCATCAGTTTCTAGTCATGGTGGCATAAAATACCATGTGCATTTTCTATATTGGTTTTCACAATTTGTGTGTGAGAAATTAAATAGCCTCTTACCTTTTATTCCTACAATTATTCCTACCCACTAAAATTATGACAAATCACCATTTAATTTAATTGTATTTGATATATTCCTAATATAGTCTTAATGATTTAGTTTAAAAAATATGAAAAGATGACACTTATCATAATTTTATTGGGTAGGAACATTTGTAGGCATAAAAAGTAAGAATCAATTTAATTTCTCTGTGTGTGGGTTTATCCACATTTGATGTACTTTCTAAATTCTTACATTTTCGTTTATTTGTCTATTGTGAAATTAAAGCATGTTAATGTGATATCGGTGGTGAATATGAAAACGGTTCTTTTCATTTATTTGTCAATCGTAAAAACATATAACATTTTTTTTTTCATATTCTCACACTTTCCAACAAAATAAAAAATTCAAACGAATGTTGCGAACTAATAACAACACTATTTGTTCTCTTTTCTCTCATGCTAGTCTTCCAACCACATTTTAGATGAAGCCCTTTACATGTCGGTCAACTTCTCAATATTCACATAGGGGTATGTATGGGGTAGTTTGCTTCGGTTATTTGTCAAAACCGAACCATATCCATTACAGTGTGTTAATATATTTCGATAACCAGTAGGTAGCAGTTAATATTGGTTTTGGTTAACGGTTTTATTCGGTTAATGGTTATGGTTAGTAGTTAATATTGGTTAACCATAATGGTCAAAGATGACATAAAAATAAAAATACTTTTTCTATAATAATTGAAAAACATAAAGTCCATTATTTCGTTCAGAGCTGCTGTGAGAGGTAAGGATTCATGTTCATCTTCATTTGTGTGATAGATTTCATGAATCTAGGGTTTCTTCTCTTCTTTTTGGTAAGAGATCTAGAGTATGTGATGTCCCCTTGTGTGTATATCTTCAAATCTGGACCTTGAGAGGTCCAGAGAGTCCCTATTCCCCATCTTTATGCAGTCCTTTATGAGTTTGGAGCTTAGGTGATCATTTTAAGGGTTATTTCTCCATCTATGGCTAATTGTGGGTTGCATGAATGTAAAGTTTGAACCTTTACGTGACTTTTGAGTGCTAGAAGGTTAGATCTACTAGTTGGTAAAGCGGATCCGGCCTCAGAAGGTCGAATGAGCATACTCATGGAGGAAACTCGCCGAGTCCATGGAGAGACTCGACGAGTTGATTCAGGGTTGCCCCGCGATTCATACCAAGTGTAACTCGTCGAGCTAGTGGTTGGCAAGACGTGTCAAGCGAGGCTAGAAGGAGGATTCAGTGGACACGTGTGGACTCACCGAGTCGCCCATGTGCACTCGACGAGTCGGGTCAAAGTTTGACCGTCGACTTTCATTAGCTTTAAGGTTTTGGTCAAGACTGACTTAAGAGAGTTTAGGGAAGGGTAAAATGGTCTTCTACCCAATCTTTAGAGTTGAGACAATGAGAGAGTGTTGTTCGGGGATGTTATTTGAATAATAGGAGGAGGCCAGGTCGGGACGTTGAGCAAGAGAGTTCATCCGACTTCGTTTGAGGTGAGTCTTACCACTATAATTTACCTTGAGTGGTAATTAGAGTTATGTGACAGAGTTACTGTATGCTATTTATGTGATGTGTTGTACTGCATTATTTCTATATGATCTATGTCGTGTATATATCAGAGTATATCAGAGTTAGAACCGGAAGGTTCACAGAGCTAGGACCAGAGGGTCCAGAGAGTTAGGGCCTAAGGGCCCACAGAGTATAGCCTCGAGTGGCTAGTATGTGTTATGTGTGGTATTTTGGGGAACTCACTAAGCTTCGTGCTTACAGTGTTTTGTGTTATATGTTTCAGGTTTTTCTCAGGATCACGGGACGGTACCGGCTCGATTGTACACACCAGAAGGAACGTGGGTTTTGAGGATCCTAGTCTATTAATTGATTGAACAAAAGAGTCATGTATTGTAATTTAAACAAAAAGGGAGATTTTATGAAAAGTGTTAAAGAGATAAACGATTTTAAATGAAAATTTTGTTTTTAAAAAAATTTCGGTGATATAAAACAAAAGCTTGCACCTCGCTCCATAGTTATACTCACCTTCAAGTTTTGGATATCTTTTCTACCGACACCTCAACACCGAACACAAGCTTGCACCTCGTTGCATTCTTATACTCACCTTCAAGTTTCGGATATCCTTTCTACCCAAACCTCAACATGAAACATAATCTTACACCTCGTTCCACTCTTATACTCACCTTAAATTTTGGATATCTTTGTTATCCACGCCTCGACACCAAACACAAGCTTACACCGTCACCTTCAAGTTTTTGTTATCTTTGCTATCTACACCTTAACACCAAACACAAGCTTGCACCTCGTTCCACTTTTATACTTACCTTCAAGTTTTGGATATCTTTGCTACCCACACCTCAATACCCAACAAAAGCTTGCGCTTTGTTCCACTCCATCTATTTTACTTGGGAGTGCAGGACAATTAAAGAACAAATAATTTCACATGTAGATTTTGGAGCTCATTAATGGATGGTGGAAGAGGAGAATTTGGTACTTTGTTAAGGATAAAAATAGGGAACCTTATACATGGTTGAGATGTCTAATGGTGGGCCAAACACGGTTGTTAAGGATATATGTATGTATACTCCATGGCTCCGGAGACCTAGGCATGTAAGTGAGAAAGGTATGAAGATCCATGTTATAAAAGCCAAAATTCAAGATCTAAAGAATATGACTGTGGATTTCTATGACCCATGTATCCTTGGAAATTAGATAAATGGTTACATTTGCAAAGATGAGAACATCACCCAAGGTTATGAAGTTAGAGTTTGTTTATATTGATATGTACGATCCAATATCGATTTATTTAATCAGATGATTACGCTACTACATTACCTTTATAGACGACCCCACGAGAAAGGCATGAGTTTATTTTCTGAAAGCTACGGTAGATAATAAGACTAACATGAAGATCAAGTGTTTGAAATTAATAATAAGATAAAGTAAATCAATAATGATTTTATTACTTAATATCCCTTATGTTTTAATAAGCTTAAAATAATGTTATGTGCATGATCACTTATCACCTCACCTTAAATACTAATATCCAAATAAAAGAAAACGATGATTCTTACCGATCCACAATTAAAAGAAAATATGATAAAAGCTTTCTACTATGGTGCTTCTTTCAAGTTTCTATTAATATGATAAAGTATATATTAAATTTAATTGTATTCTTAACATTTTTTTGTAATTTTTAATTATTATAATATTATGATTTGTAATTTGGATTTTTATAATCATAAGATAATCATAATAAAAAAAAACCATAAATTTAATGTCTCTTATAAAATTTTAGACTATATTATTTTATTCGGAAATAACATTATATTTATATATATTATTGGGACATCAGGCCATAAGCCTCCCTTATTCTTAGATTTTGTCTTCGCAATTTGTTGTCCAACATCCAAGTGAAGATTGTTGAGTTGTGAATGCTAGTTACTTTTTGTGTGTCAAGGGTAACCCACATCAAACTTAGTAAAAATGATGAATATAAATACCAAACCATGAGTGATACTATATTATTTTCTAACTATTTTATAACATTGTCTCGACACAATTATATGTATAATATGTAATTCTTTATATTGAGCCTCAATGTAGTTGTAAATTTTATCCCTATATTAATAATAAATCTATTTAATTTGTTTGTGGATATAACATAATTATCCTAACACATAAATCTTTTGTCTTCGCTATTTTTCCTTTGTTTACTAAAAGGCACCTCCCATTTTAGTGTTAGTGATGTTATCATAATTGGTTAGGACAATATTATTCACTAATAATAAATAAATTTTGAGACATTTAACCGCTCCTCCAATTTCACTCTTGTTTTAATTTTTGTACTAAAATTTGATTTTCTTTTGTTTTATTTCTGTGTAATTTGAGAACAAAATTTACTTTTTCTTTTTGGAATAAGTGGATTATATTATTTAGCCAGTAAAAGAAATGAAATTACACGATACTAAAAGCTTATAACATATGAGTTTTACGAAAGGAACAAAATTTAATTACGCTCTATCCATTTTTCTTACAAATCCTAAATAAAAAGATAACTTTTTTCTTATAAAATAATAGTATTATCCCACTAAATCCTAGGAATACATCTTCCAATGAAAAAGGAATAAACACAATATCAGCAGACTGATGAAAAAGAAAACCCCATTTGGGGAACAATTTTTCCATGCATAAACTTGTTGTACCTTAACGAAAGACGCAAAAGTAACGTAAATATTAATTAAGATACAAGGTACAAATACAGTATCCATGTGTCCCACAAAGAGTCACAGAACCTCCACGCCTAGCTTTTTAGACTTTACTTATTCATAGTAATGAAGGAAGAAGGAGATGAAACATGAGGAAGAAGAGGGCTGCGGGCAGCGGGCAAAGCAAGAAGGGTCTAAAGATCGTGTATTGCATGAGGCGTGGGATACAAGTCGGGCAGATTTCTGCCCGACCATATATACGACAAAATAAATAAACATTCAGGATTTGAATTCTCACAACACAGCTTTTCGTTTTCTAATCTTCGACAGAAATTAATCAAAACACATGACCTAAAACAAATATTCAAGATTTGAATTTGATTAATCATATTATTCCTTTTTTACTTATGCTTAGTGTTCGTTTTTTATTTTGTTGGTAGGTATTTTAATTGGGTAAATGACATAAAAAAAACATTTTTTTACACAGAAATTCAATTTTGATACCGTGTTTTTTTTGTATCGATTTTAACACTGTGTTTTCCAATTTATTACAATTTTGACCACTTGACCGGTTAACCAGGTTGCATGCTGACGTGTCAGATTTAATTATGTGACATGCTGACATTACATGCTGACGTGTCAAAATTGAATTTTTTCTCACAAAAAATACTAAGTTTTCATTTTTTTTTTTCGATTTTGATACTAAGTTTAATTTTTTCTTTCAACTTTGACACTATGTTTTTTGTTCTAAATCGAACATTATTTTTTCCAATTTTGTTCAATGTTGATAATTTTCTATTTGAAATCGTATAAATATTTTTTTAATACATTTAAACCGTATAAATATGTTTTTTTTTCATTTAAAAACCATAATTTTGTATAAATACATTTTTTTTACACTCAAACCATATTTTTATGTATAAATATGTATTAGTTATATAAAAATTATATTTTATAATAAATATGCAACTTTAAAATGTGTTTCGAGGTTTGCAAGCGTGTAGTCGATCAAAACTCAGATATCAAGTATGCAACCCATCAGATTTTTACATATTATTAGACACTTATGGTTAGTTTGATTTTCATGATATAACTAATGTTTTGAATGTAAGAATAAAAAAACACCTTGTATTTAAATAAAAATATGGTTTTTAAACGAAAAAAATATGTTTATACGATTCAAAATGTAATAAAAAAATATATTTATACGGTTTCAAATAGAAAATAGACAAAATTGAACAAAATTTGATAAATGATGTTCGATTGGAACAAAAAAACATAGTGTCAAAATTGTAATAAAAAATTAAACTTAGTGTCAAAATCGAAAAAAATGAAAACTAAGTGTTTTTTGTGGAAAAAAAATCAATTTTGACACGTCAACATATCATGTAAGCATGCCACGTCATCAAAAACTGACACGTCATCATGTCACGTCAACATTCAACCTGGTTAACCGGTCAAATAGTCAGAATTGTAACAAATTGAAAAACACAGTGTCAAAATTGACACAAAAAACACGATGTCAAAATCGAATTTCTAAGTAAAAATATTGTTTTTTGTGCAATTTACCTTATTTAATTTAAAAGTAAGAGTTTTTTACAATAATGAAGCAGAAAATTCTTAATATTTTAAAACGAAACTGAGATTGATTATTATTAGATTATATTATTTCAATATCTTGTCATTGAATTGTCATCCACGTCATTCTTAACTTAATTTTTCCTTACCTGATTTTATATTAATGCGACAACTATATACAGTAAACCTGAAACTTGGTTCAAAAAAATATGCACGTGGAATAGAATGTACTTTTTTGGGTGAGGTTACTTGTCACATTTATTTATTTGTTCTGCAACAACTATAGTTTTAATTTATTAATTATGAATCTAGAATATTGTATATGGTTTTTAATCAATATGTATCTAGTTAAAGGTGCTTTTTTTTTTTAAGAAAAAATATATAAAATCTGCGGACTACCTCTGCAACTAAGGGTAGAATTGGTACGGTATCAAGTTTTTTTTCTTCAAACCGTGTACCGTACCAATTATAGTTGACATAAGAATTTAACTACCAGTACCGTACCAAGTATACTTGGTACACACTAATTTGACTACCAACAAATTTGGTTGGTACATATTGGTATTTGATTTTTTTTTTTTAAACGGCAAACTAACTAATCTACTCCTAAATAACCACATATGTTTCTACCGAGACTTGAACCTCTGACCTCTCATATGAGATGGTGACTCCATACCGTTAGGCCATTGACCATTTGGTCGTTGCTTCGCTTGCTTGTGTTAGTATTTTGTCTTTTGGAAGAAACTAAAACGATTAAAAGAGGCCCACCCCTAGCAAGTTGCCTAAGGAAGCAAATGGAAACAATACAAGAAATGAGAAGTTACTATTCCTTTTCAGTTTTAGCGTCATGCGCTTTTGTAACATCGATTTCGTGCTCTTCAAAAAATAAATATCAAGAAATTTGTTAATCATTGTGTTAATTTATTAATTTCAAGACTTTTTATTTGTTATTCTAATTAAAACATGCATATATATATATATATATATATATATATATATATATATATATATATATATATATATATATATATATATATATATATATATATATATATATATATATATATATATGAATTTGTTGGTACGGTACAACCATGATATTCAAAATTTCATGCTGTTACCGTACCAATACTATTTAATTGGCATTGTATTACGAGCCAAACATATTGGTTACCAAACAACTTGGCTACCGATTTTATTGGTTCAGTTGGTAACATATTGGTTGGTTCTCTGTGGTCAAATTTGCCAGTTCTATCTGCAACCCTCTGTAATAAAAAAGGTGGACCAAACAGTTGCAGACTGTAATAAGAAACGTGTTTGTTTTTTTAACATCTGCATGCAACTGCAAATATTAAAAAATTAAAATAAACTGATTTTATAATCCAAAAATAGTTTTTTAATGCCGAAAATTTAATAATGTATAACATTTCGGCAAAAATTTATGATATTTCAGCAATAATAATAATATTTTAACAAAAAATAATGATATTTTAGTAAAATATAATGATATTAATCAACAAATTATTATTATTCAATATAAAAAAAATTCAACAAGAATAAAAAAACAAAAACAAAATGTGAAATAATATTTCATAAATATATAATCAATATTTTAGTAAGAAAAAAACAAGTGTTGCACCAAAAAGAACAAGCGCAAAGGTTTTTTAATCCGAAGACTTCTGAAACAAACAGTTGCGAGATAAAAAGTATTGCGCGTGTACTGCGCCGCGCAGCAATAAGAGGTCTGAATTTTTTTTTCCAAAAAATAAAAAACTTCTGTGATGCTAAAAACATGAGTTTTGTTTTTATTTTATGTAATATAATAAGGAGAAAATTAAATCAAGTGTAACGAATAACAAATTAAGATAAACAATATTTATAATATATACGAATAGCTAAAAATAAAGTATTTGAAAATCAATGAACAACTAATTAAAAAAAAAACCAAAAAGTTAATTTTTATATTTTACAATATAACTACATGTGTTTTTTATCAAACATGCAAACACAACTCATCTGTTAGTGAAAGTTGTAGAAAATAACAATGTATACCACTACTTTTATCAATATAGAAAATATATTTTACAAATAATAGCAATATATTTACAACTTTTTACACATATATAACAGCAACATTCTTATAATTTCTCAATATATTTATATTTCTGTATCAATAATAGCAGTATTTATTTATAATAAAAGCATGTAATATATTGTACTACGTACCAATAGATAAATCAGAAATGTAAGTACTTTGTTGTTAAGTACTTTAGTATGTGTTGTAATTTCCTCTATTATTTAATAATTAAAACTTCATATACATATTAGCAATGAATATTATATGTTAAAACAACGTACATAAAATTTATGTCCTAGCAAAAAAGTTAAAAATAAAATAAAATCTGAGAATCTAAAGAAACAGTACAGAATACAGATCCAATTAATTAATTAATAAAGATTTGTTTATAAAATATGAAATATAAACCCAAAAAAACGATAATGTACTAGGCACGTTTATACATAACTATTCACTATTTAGCTTTTATCATCCTAATCAAAGCATAGATTTCAGAAAAATGAACAGTTAGAAAAAGATATATAATCTATCGATTAAAAAAATTAAAAAAATTAATTAGGGTATGATTTTTTGTTGATCTATACAAATTATTCATTCTTAAGTATTATTTTTTTTTTACCATTACAAGTAACAGAAAAACAATTATGATGTTTTAGAAGCTCAATAGCTATCTAAAATAAGATATTAACTGTTCTATTAAAACCTATTATCAGAAAACCTTGTTCGATGGATTTAAGTTATGAGTGGATGAATGTTAATCTCGATTTCATACATGTAACGGGTGATTTCTATTCCAACTAATGATTTATAACTAGATGATAAGTTTTTTTGAACAAATCGAAGCATGCAGTAACACGGAAAACGTGATATTTCAAAACCAGACGCCATTGACGTACGGAATAGCTTACGCGGTGATATTGTATGGAGATTAGAGTAATGGAGATTGAAGTAGAAGAAGATGAATGATACCTGGAGTGAGTAGAGTATTCAAACAGTTTCCCTCTGGAAGAGAAAACGATGAGAGCAACATGAGCATCACAGAGAACAGAGATCTCATGCGCTTTCTTCAATAATCCTGTTCTTCGCTTCGAGAACGTGACTTGTCTGCTTATTTTGTTCTCGATCCGCTTCAATTCCACTCTCCCTCTCCCCATTTTTGAGTTCCGTTTTTTCTTCTTCTACTTACTGTTTTTCGTTGAGAAAAAGCAAAGAGTTGAATCCAAATCCCTTGATTGTGTCATCAAACGAACTAAAAAAGGAAAGGATCCATGAAATTGAGCAGCAGAACGAAAGAGGAATGGTGTTTGGATAGCAGTTGTTTATTCTATTTTGGTGGTGTATGTTATAAGAGAAAAAGGAAGGTGGTTTGATCGAAAACCATGGTGGTTTCAGGGGAAATGTTTGTCGAATTCTGATTGGCTGTTAGTACTCATGTGTCGTTTTCGTTTGCTTCTTTTAGGTCTATATGAGGAATTTATATCAGATTAATATGTTAAATTAACATGTTAATTATAAGGGCGCATAATATAGGAAAAATCTTACAAAAAAACAACCACTACATTTTTAATAATTTATCACAACAGCAATTTTAGCTTTTTTTTTTTTATTAAATACATTAAGTGTAAGATCCATATATTACACGGATTCATTTAAAAAAAGATTAATAATTAAATTAAATTATAAATAAAAAATATTTTTTTAATGTACAACTGTTAAAATAATAAAGGAAGAAACGTATCTATTGCAATTTAATATATATATATATATATATATATATATATATATATATATATATATATATATATATATATAATGCTTTACATGTATAAATATATGATTTTAATTTAAAAAATTAAAACCAATGAAAAATTGATAAGTGGATAATATTTATTTTAAAAATATTACAAAATTACAAGTGTCAAAACTTATGAGAGATTAACATGTGGTACAAAATCCTTCATTTATTGATAATTTATATTTATTAATTTTATAAAAAAAGCATTTATTTATAAAAGGCTTATAAAACAACAAAATTTTAAAAATATATATTTTATTTTCCTAATATAATTAAAATTTTAAAAATATAACTAAATTTCTTAACCACTAAAGATAGATAGATCTACTAGAAAAATGAGGAATTTTCTACAAAAATATTGTAGGAAATTTCTTAGAAATATATTTTCTAGGAAATATCTTCAGAAAAACATTTATTATGAAATTTCTCGGAGATATATTTTCTATGAAACTTCTCAGAAAAATAGCCATTGAAATGCCTCAGGACCTCCAACAAAAATAATTTCATTGCAAATTTTTCGGAAGTCCCTTACAAAAAGTTTCTTAGAAGGATTTTAGTTGTGCAGAACTTTTCCGCGGTATTTCCTTAAAAATATCGGTTTTCTAGGAATTTTCAAGTAAATCATCATTTGAAAAAGACATGTGTTTTTTAAGTAGTGTGAGAACGATATTGTTTTTGACTACCGAAACAAAATTTTAATTTTTGACATTGGAGATACCAAACAATTGCTTTTTTGCTTTTTTTTTTTATTTTTTTTTTTTTATTTTGGTTTGTTTTTTTTAATGGTTTTATATTAACAAAATTATAAAAATGATTCCTGTGATTTGTTAAAAAAATCAATCTCTCCTAAATTTTTTGAAGAACATGGTCCTTTTTGCTTTCAAAACATATATGTATGACAATTTTTGCTGATGCCATTACTGTTCATCAATTAATGTAAGATTATTTTGATATTTTCATATAACACTATAACAGAGACCAAGTTTGTGAGTATGGGTAAACCATATAGATAATTTATGTAATTTTTGCTCTCTCTTTCTTTCTCTCTCTCTCTCTCTCTCTCTCTCTATATATATATATATATATATATATATATATATATATATATATATATATATATATGAATTTGTGACTTTTCCACCTTTTTACTTTTTAAAATATCATTTCGAACCCTTCAGTTTGAACTTTGAAAAATGTTACTTTGACCCTTTATTTTCTAAATTTTCTTGTTTAACCCCGTATTATGTATAATTTGTTTTTTGTTAATAACATTCGTTAACCTTAAAAAAAATATTTTGATGTATTTACTTTTATATATTTTTTGGTTGAATTTAAAGTGATCAACGTTTCCATTTTCATTTTGAACTTTCTTTCATTAATTTTTTTTTTTAAAAAAAATTACCTGTTTTTTTTATAAACTTTCGGTTTAAATTCGAGTTTGTCTACGTTTCGATATAGTTTTGTTTGTTTGCATGTTTGTTTGTTTGTTTTTTTGTGTGTGTTTGACTTTATGTACGTTTTTACGTATAAGACGGATCATATATAATAACTTTCGTTTGTTAATTTTAAAGAAATGTATTATATTTGAGTTTGTCTAAGTTTCAAAGTAATTTATTTATTTATTTTATATTTTTGTATTTAGTTTTATGTACATTTCTAGATATCATTTGTGTCACATATAATACCCTTGGTTTGTTTACGTAAAAAAATATATTATCATCAATTTTGTCTACGTTTCGCGAAACGTATTTTTTAACGTTTTCGTGCTTAGTTTTATGTACGTTTCATATGTATAGCCCGGGTCACGTATTATACGTTTTTGATTATTTAAGCTTTCGTTTGTTGACTTTAAAAAAATCTTACTTACTTGTTTTATGCACGTGTCGATATAAATTTGAGCTTTTTCTTTTTCTTTATTTTTTATGTTTCGATTTCTTTTTCTTTTTGTACCTTTTGGGGCTTATTTTATGTATGATCCTACGTATGAGTTTGTTTACATGTAATATGTAACATCTGGTTTTGAGGCACTTTTATTATTGTCCAGTATATTGAGGTTTATTGCAATTTGGACCCTAAGTATAAGAAAGAGTGCAAAGAAAGAACTAGTGGCATTTTCGTAACTTGGATATTTGGGGAGTACGCCATGTGTACGTGTGTACGCTGAGCGTACTAGGGTGCGCCCTAGTACGCAGGGCATACGGGTCAGACATGCAAACCTTATTTTTTAGGGTTTGGCTCATATTTAAACCCCCATTATAGCCTTAATCCCCCCCCCCCCCCACTTCTTCAACTTCCATCCTATTGAAACATTTTTTGCAACCCTAATCCATCTTGTGAAGCATTTATAAGCTTTAGTATGTGTGTTTTGTGCTTTTGAAGAAAAAGTAAGGAATGAGAGACCACCTTAGAGGAGTGGAGCTCTTTAGATTTGGGATCACACCACCTTTTGGAAGCATTTTGAGGTATCAAGTTCTAAACTTTGTGAAGTTTTATTTAGATCTTGTGTTGGAATGGTTTTTGGTCCTTTTGTCCCAAATATGGAGATTCATGAACATAGCATGTTCTTGACCCATTAAGTTGTCCTTTCAAACCTTACGAAGGGTCTTAAGACATAAAATGGGATCTAAGTGGTTGGTTTTGTTCCATGCATTCTCTAAAAGGGTCTTAATGGATTAAGAAGTTGAGTTAAGCACTTAATGGGCATGCAAAGTCATCACGATGGAAACTGTAACATCCCAAAATTTCAGGCCAAAAATTTCATTTTTTTAAAATAAGTTATTACATAAAACCATTAGTATAAAAACATTCATTATAATATCTAGTGACAAACCAAAGTGACGATAATCAAAACATATTATCATAAAACCATATCAGAGTGTAATCCCAAAGATCTCGTGTGCGGAAACATAGTGTGATGCGCTGCGATCGAGCCGACTCCTTTCCTTGAAAACAAATACCTGAAACCAAAACTGAAAACCCTAAGCACGAAGCTTAGTGAGTTCCCCAGATACCACATACCATACAACCCAACTGATCCTTACATGCCATACATAGCCAAGAGCCATACATAACCAACATATCCATAATCAAGTAAGGTGTTATGTGCCAAACATAGTCTTGGTAAGGTGCTATGTGCCAAACATAGTCTTGTGGTTGTGCCACGGGCCGCACGTGGTCTTCCTGGTCAAGCATGGGGCCACTCCCTGGATCTTATAGACAAGTGCCAAGGGCTACCCCCTGGTCTGTCATGCAAGTATCACAAAGACAACTATACATACTACTCTACTAGGCTACTCCACATATAGTGTGCCAGGAGCCACACTCCTGGTCTTTCATACACAATGGCATACAGTGCGCCAGGACTCACCTCCTGGTCTTTCATACATATTACCTAGGGCTAACCCCCGGGTCTTCCTATCATAGATAATAACATACTATGTGCCAGGCGCCGCCTCCTGGTCTTTCATGCATAATTCCTAGGGCTAACCCCTAGGTCTTCCTAGCATACCTAAACTAAATGGGCTGGCATTGGTGCCTTAGACCCATACAAACAGTGAGGAGACTCACCTCGCACTGCTGAACTTTGCTGATGATCCTCTGGCTGCTGACCGACAACTCTCTGAGTCGCTGCTCAACTAGCTCCACCAGCTACTAATATCAACATACACTTAGTTCCCAAACTGAACCCTAGAAGCCAAACTAAGTGAACTCTGGTCAAAGTCAAAGTCCTGGTCAAATTCAACATTCCAGGTCAACCCTACTCGCCGAGTCTGCCTACTGACTCGCCGAGTTCATACGCTCAGAATACTTTCATTTGCATCTCGACTCGCCGAGTCAGCCACTTACTCGCCGAGTCTATCGATTTGCGAGTCCTGCACTGTCCAACTCACTGAGTCCCCACTCAGCTCACTGATCCAAGTCTTAACTCGAAGGGTTTAGGATTTCGCGACTTGACTCGTCGGGTCCAAGAACAAACTCACCGATTCCAAGGCCATCTTCAACAGACTCGCTGAGTCGTTCATCCAACTCATCAAGTTCATCCCCATCTTCATACTACTCGCTGAGTCCACTCGAAGGACTCGCCAAGTCGCTTCAGTTCTTAATCCATACAGTGGCTTTTCGAGCCATGCTGGGGCTCCAAACTGTAGATCCACTCTTCCCAAGCCTATTCCTCACGTAAAGTTGCAAACTTTACGTGAAACCAAAGAGATATTGGCTTAAAACACTCTAGGGCTAGGGATTGGGGCAAATTTGCTTTACCAACACACCAAAAACTGATACTTTACTGGTCTCTAGGCCAAGACACACCTAGAGCTGAAGGGATCCATCTTGAGGACGTCCAAATTCCGAAATGCATCATACTTGGTCTAAAATCTCATAAAGAGGGACATGAAGTGATCTAACAATAACAAGACAAGGAGGAAACTTGGTTACCAAAATGAGCAGCAAAAGAGATGAATCTTCTGGATCCACAACCCTCCACTTGAACCCTCAACTCCTTCTTCTCCTTCTATGCTTCAAGAACACTCAAAATCCTTCAATATTGGCTCACACACTCAAAGAGAGCACTAGGGTTTCGTGGGATAACTTATGGACAATGGGGATACAAATGAGGCTGATAGAAGAGGAATGAGATGCTTAAATAGGGTACAAGTCCTGGAACTAGGGTTTTCCCAACCC